TACACGACCGCACGCCGGTACGATGCTCATTCTGATCGAAACGGGCAGGGGGGGGGGGGGGATCGAGCCCAGGATATCTGAGTTCTGCAGCGCAAGCTTTCGCTCTACGTGCTCCTAGCTGGTGTGCGCTAGCCCACTCGGCCACCGATACCCTCGGCAGAATCCCATATCTTCAGTGAAATAAGAACCAGGGTGTTTGAAGAAGAGGACTTTTGGCGAGACGAGCCGAGCGCTTTCCGCGTGTTGGAGCCAGTTGGCCACGCTATTTCCGAATCTTGAGTCAGACACTGCTGTTCTCTCAGATGTTCATGAGAGCTTCAAAGTAACAAGTCATGTCGAACAGGCCCTTCCGGATTCTGCCTTGACCACCAACGAAAAAAAAGCAAAAAACAGCAGAAATCCCGCGTGAGCGACGCAACTTTATATGTCGTCCAGCGAATGTGGCCACAAATTTGCTTGGCCCGAACTACAGAGGAATGTTCTTGAGTGAAAAGGATGTATACCATATGAATTGCATCGCAGAAGTGGCAGAGACATTTGGTCTTGATGCCGGAAAAGTGCTTTTCAATCTGGCTGAATATAGAACCCTGTCAAGTGCGTGGTCAAGGAAGGAACTGGACGATTCGGCCCCTGACACCGATTGCCTGTCGCCTGCTTCAAGTTCCACCATCTTAAGCTGCGCGAGAACAAAACTGGCATAAGGTCGCCACTGTCCACACCAAAAGTAGAAACAGGCTTAAGGGACACGGAGTGCAAAAGCTGGTGTTTGTGCGCTCCAACGTCAGTCTGAAGGGTCTTGATGGAACACACGACGGCGGAAATGGCTCAAGCATGGAGTCAGAGTAGCCGCAATCTACCTACTGCTTTGAGCGTGCTTCTTGTTCAGCAAATGTGTACTTGTTGAATCGTAGATTGTTTCAAGATCGGTTATGTTCTGTTCGTAATAGTAACAGCTCTACTCTTGGAAGAGAGTAAGAAATGATACAATAAATCAACGTCCAACTTGCACTATCTCCAATAGAATTCATGTATTGCTTTTACTTAAATAGTTACCATAAATCAATGGTCCATCAATCATGATGTTATCTTAGTATTTATGTACACACGTATACAGGGTGTTTTTTTTTTATTCTTATGCACTTGTTTAAAAAAAAACGTGAAAGCTACAGTAATGCGGTTTGTGCAGGTGGGTTTATACGGCCAGGCGAACATTATCTGGGTGGCTAATCTTTGCGATAAGTCAAAGTTAAAAGTCAAATTTGGGGGTTTTACGTGCCAAACCAACGACGGGCATCTGGCACGCCCCAGTGGAGGACTGAGGATTAATTTGGACCACCTGGGGATCTTTTAACGTGCGACCGAAAGCTCGATTACACGGCGCCTTCTCCGCAATAAGCCTCCGACAGATTGCGGGCACCTCGGCCGGGATTTGAACCCGCCACATGGGGATCCGTAGGCCAGCGCTCTCGCCTCAGAGCCACCGAGGCGGCTTGCGATAAGTCTGCTAATTAATTAGAATTCGTTAATTAACTTTTTAATTACTGAAAATAAACATATGGTTTCAATTAGAAACTTGCTGAGCATCATCGAAAACCCACAAATCAACTATTTTTTTGCAGGATATAACGCCGGGGCAGCATTTTACGGCGTTCTGTAAAAACGCTCCATTTGGACGCGTTTCTAGATTTCGGTTTGTTATCGGAGCGGATCTACGCGCCCGCGATCCTGCTCCCCGGCGGTCGCGGCGCGAAGCCATCTCCTCGCCTCCCTCGTAGAATGGAGGGAAGTACGGCGCACGTGTGTTGCGCGTCTCAGCCACTGGGGAGCAGGACCGCGGGCGCGGTGATGTGCTCCGATAAGAAACCGAAATCTAGAAACGCGTCCTAATGGAACGCTTTTACAGAACGCCGTAAAATGCTTCCCCGGCGTTATATCCTTCCGAAAATAGTTGATTTAGTGGTTTTCGATGATGCTCTACAAGTTTCTAATTGAAACCATATGTTTATTTCCACAAATTAAAAAGTTAATTAACGAATTGTATTTTATTTTAATTTTTATTTTTTCGTCAGGAAGGCTGACAAAGGCCGGACTCCGCCCGAAATGCCGAAGAATAAATCGTCCGGACGGTTTATTCTTTGACGTTTTGGCCGGAGTCCGGCCTTCGTCGCCATGCCCGCCACCATGCCCGTTATTATATATAGATATAGGTATGCACTTGCAGGTGAAGCAGTGGATGCTTAATCGTGTATTACGGGAGCAATGGTCTCGTTGACTAACATCGTGTTCTACTGCTGACAGAGCAGTCGAAGCCTCATTGTTTGAGAAACATGTCATAGATTGAAATAAAAAATTGTGTTTTTAGATGCTATCACACATTACAGCAACAAACTTGAAACAGCGCTAGAAGTCATATCTCCTCTATTTTATACGTTTTCCAAACATATTTCGATATAACGTTTTTTGAAACGTTTTCCTATATTGCCACGCGAGGCCTGCTTGACAAAGAAAAGAATGGTTAATATTTTTTTGTTCAATGAACGCAATAGACCATTTGCTATATTACCCAAGCATCAAGGAGAATGCAGGGATCGGTGTTACACGCGCCCACACGCGCACGCCTTCCCCGTATAAAAGATTCGACCTAAGTACCGAAGATAAAGCGCTGACGAACGCGCGTGCAGGATGCCATTTGTTTTAGGTACTTGCTTTAGAAAAGTTACTACTGCTGAGGCCAGCACGTGTGCCGCGTGGAACACAAATGCCTGCATTCTCCTTGATGCTTGGGTAATATAGCAAATAGGTCTATAGGCCTCCTGCGCTGAAGCTTTGAAAAAACTGTAGCGCCCTCATTTTGGGTAGTACAAGCTCACCTGATTGAGTATAGCACTACTTATGGCACGCTGGTCGAGATCTTTCAATTTTATGTGGTGCTAAAGAACAAAAAAATACCTATGGACGCCAGAAATCGGCCAAACTGAACGTTACAAGAAAATCGAAAGTGCCAAATTCATGACACCACTGCTAGGGCACGCGTCTCTTATCTCTGGGTGGTGACGTCACAACACCTGTGTCGCGACGCTTTAATTTTTTTTTCTTTTTGATGTCTACTTTGGAACGCGTGAAACGGCATCTCTTGGCTCACGCGCATCTTAGCGCATCACACGCATCTTAGCTTTGACAGCGTTCGGATTTTTTGTTTTGTCTTTGTATTTTCATCGTGATCTCGCGCTCCGCACCAGAGCAGGCACGCTTCTGCATGCGTGACAGTTTGAGACGCTAAAATGTGTACTACCCAAAACAAGTCCTAACAAGTCCCATTTGCAGCACCCTCTGGGCAGCGCAGAAGGCCCATACCACCTCCGAACGAGAGCACACTACCACAAGCGCTTGAGCTCCCTACCTAGCTGTACCACTGTCGTACTGGGGGGCTATGTTGCGCTTTTTGCACTCGCACGAGACTAGGGAGAAGGAAGTGACGTCAACAACGCAGCAAATGCAGATTGGATGTTGATTTTGTTTTCTTCTGTTAACATTCAATCTGCGTTTGCTCTAGTCGTTGACGTCACTTCCTTCTTCCAAGTCTCCTGGGAGTGCAAAAAGCGCAACATAGCACCCCTGCATATCTTTCTTATGGGCTGAGAAACTGATATACCGGCTTCTTGCAAGAAAACGAAACCCAATTTAGTGGTGCGCATAAATAACGCATAGAAAACTCGAACTCCACGAGAACGTGGCGCTAGCGATGGGGATAGAATAGGACAGTTTGAGAACATGACGTTACCTGGATTGAAATGTAAAACTGGAAAACAGACATTTTCTGTGAGCCCACGTCCACGTAAATCTAAGAATCGTCACACCGAAAAATGAAATTCTGGGTGCCTGCAGCATTTATATTAATGCAAAAATCTGCCAGCAAGCAAGAAAGCTATACTGCCTGTTTTCCTGACCTAATGTCTTTTAAAAAAAATAAATGAAACAGGATATTTTCCACGGTATCATTTTCTGGTTTGAGGAACACTGGCGTAGGTGGACGTCGGCTCAGAAAATGTTGGAACCTCTGTTATATCTTTTGATACAGATAACGTAATGTTCGCAAAAACTTTCGCAGTCTATCACCACTACTAGTGCCACATTCTCAATATTATTAAGAGTTTTGTGATGTGCAGTTCGTTTATGCGAGCCGGAACACTGTTTTTTTTTTTTCTCTCACGAACCCGGAATTTAGTAGACCGCGATTATTATTCCTACACCTGCTTTCTCAACGAAACGAGAGGAAAACGTGCATGTCATGTCTATTTTCAGTTTTGACGCAATCATTACTTTCCAAATCGACGTTCGCTCGAAAGATTAGTTTAACAGGTTTTTTAATTTCTGAGTATCGTCTACTTTTTCCAATTTTAATCTAAATAAATAAATAAATAAATAAATAAATAAATATATATATATATATATATATATATATATATATATATATATATATATATATATATATATATATATATATATATATATATATATATATATATATATATATATATATATATATGATTTTTTTCTCGAGCTTTCGCATTCCTACATATAACTCTCCTCCAGAGGTGGGGTCGCTCCTCTTTGCTCTGTTTCGAATGCTTTTGTTTCTTTTTTGTTCCGGAGCGCATGAAAGAGCGCATCCCGGCACAAGCTTTCGGCATTCAAAGTGCTGCGATGGAATTTTGTTAGAGTTTTTTGTTATTAATTTTTTTTTAAAGAGCGCGTGCAGTGGGCATTGGGTGCTACAAAATTCCTAAACTCTGTGGCGTATTTCAGTGCTAACGTCTCCGCTTCGCACGCGGAGGACACGGGTTCGATCCCTGCGGGCGACGTCAAGCAATCTTTTAAAATAATTTCGCAACATCGACGATAGACGCCCTACACCGCCAACTACTACAACACCAACAATGGACGTCGTTTCCAGTGATGGGAAGATTCCGTATCACTAATGCCATAAGACAGACACTCACCAGCAATCGCGAAGACCGCCAGCAGCACAAACGAAGCACGAATCATGGCAACACCGTGAGACAAATTGTGGAAAAAAAGACAATGGATCCCCGAGACTTCGGGTGCGTTTATAAAGACCCAGGCGCGTATTTCCCCGATAAATGTGCTTCGCCGACTCGACCTCTTATCGACAACAAACATCGTGGCTACCGGGCATGATTAGATAGTGCGGATTTTTTCCGACCTGTTACTGTGTTCGTGATAGATTCTCACATTATAGTAATTTGCGCCGTTATAAGCGTCCGCTTAACAATGAATGTCCCCTGATAGCGAGCTTGCTCGCTGGATCTAAAGTCACTGTATCTGGAAAATCAGCGCCATTGCCTTCCCACCTGCTAGCGGGACACAAACAGATACCACCATAGAGACGACAAAACCTCTAAAAGTGATTGGCTCATCGCTATCGGTTACCATGGTGATCGCCGTTTCGGACCCTTTCAAAACTTCGAAGCTTGGAAAAGGGTCACTATAGACCGTTTTATCGTGGGTAGCGCCATTTTTAGAGCGAGAGAGAAAAGGGGAAAGGGCTACCGGCGCTTTCCCCCTTTCTGATTGTGTAGAAAGAGTAAAAGTCCCGGATGAGAGGCTTGGCCGGTGTTGGGTGTCTGCTATGCCCCAACTTCTTTCGCTCTTTCTTTTCTGTTTTGAACTCGCAAACTTCATTAGAGCCACGGGCTTTGATGGCAACAGTCCCCCGGTCATCGGGACACCATTGCTCGGTCATAGGGTGCAGGAATAACGACAGAAAGCGTCGAATACCGCCCAAGGACCTCGTAGCTTGCATGGATTTCGGCAAGGCACGTGCGGCTGCAATGTTTTGAAGCTCCACCGCTTTCCGCGTGACCGGAAATGATGAACCATTCATAAATTTTTGCTTGCAATAGGCACATTTCAACGCAGCCGTTTTTAGTAATGAAGAAGCGATACACGAAACGGGAACCTCAATTAACTTTTGTAAACACCCGGAGCTGCTACATATCGTTTTGCTGCGCTGCTTTTATCTTGCGTGTCCGTGTTCTCATGTTTCATTGTGGATGAACGACGAAGATGTTCTAGATGTGCTTATATCGAACCGCAGAAAGCGTCAAAGCAGCCACAAATTATTTTACTATTTGATGCAATATTTTGAGTACTAATCTCCAAATTCTATCACTGACACGTTCGCTGCCGCTGTTCCCGGATGCCATGACTCGAACAAAGAAAGGTACACACCGGACTCGAAGACGCAGATCGCAACACACGAGTCGTACCCTGGAGCGACTATCCAGCGCTTCAAAGCGCCCAATCAACGGAAACAACCCAAACAACCCACCAGCGGCACTCCAAGGGGCGCTTTTGTCGGCTCTCTGGTATCGCACAGGGGATCGCTATTCAGGAAAACCGATAGAACTACCTTTTCAACAATTTCTAGCCTCACCCGGCGGCGGAAATAAGTTTTCAACTAAGTGTTGTAAATGATGAAATCAAGTCAGTCACCACTGCAAATTATCACTATTAAGATAAATTCAGTTACAAAATTTTACAAGCTCAAACAGCAATTGTCACGAGAAAACTGGCACGCACCTTGCGAGCGTACCCCATGTTCACCGGCGGTACAGCGTTCGGTGCGCGCTCCATTCACAAGCTGTTCCGAGCACAGTCGAGAAGATGGTGTTGAGGAAATGTCTTTTCGGTATACGAACGCAATACACTGCCGTCAAGACCGGGGTAATCTAGAAAGCGATGGAGCTTAAAGACATTGCAGCCGCTCTCGCCTTGCCGGATTCCTTGCAAGCTACATAGGTCCTCGGACAGTATTCGACGCTTTTTGTCGTTATTCGTGCACCCTATGACCGAGCAATGGTGTCCCGATGACCGGGGAACTGTTGCCATCGAAGCCCGTTACTCTAATTAAGTTTGCGAGTTCAAAACAGAAAAGAAAGCGCGAACGAAGTTCGTGCATAGCAGACACCCAACACCGGCCAAGCCTCTCATCCGGGACTTTCACTCTTTCTACACAATCAGAAAGGGGGAAAGCGCCGGTAGCCCTCTCCCCTTTTCTCTCTCGCCCTCTTTCAGTAAAACGGTCTATAGACCAGTGTCCGCGCCAATTCCAGGGCGCCGCCATGTTTATCTACGCTCGCGCCACCACGCGGGGTGAACTGGCAGGCAGGAGGGGGGGCTGCGTAGGCGGCGTTGCTTTGGGGAGCTGGATGCGGCAGGCTGTCCGAATGCACCGGCACATCGTGAAAGATGTCTTCACCAGAAGCCTCCGCGACCCGTTCTTCATCAGATAAGATGTCGTGAACATTCGAGAACCCATCTCGATCAAGAAAACAAGAGAAAACCTTTCTTGTCTTAAATGTTCTCGGTGTCTGCTGACCCTTGACATCCGCGTTTCAGTCCGGGTTCATTGCGTAGTAAATATTTCGCTACCGCTTTCTTGTAGCTTTCAAATGCTTGATTGTTGGCTTCTTGTGTATGACATTACATTGGTGGCACGTTTGAGACCGATTTTCGCGATCTGCTTGCCTTTCTGCGGCAGCGCGGCTCTGCCGAGCCGAAATAAGTGGGAGGCGTTCACTTGATCGAACGCCGTTTTAGCGAATGAAAACGAGACCACGACGTTTCATCGAATGACTAGCGAATGGGTCTAATTACATAGACAGCTCGGATTAGCTTTTTTTTGTACTGTGGCGCCTTGTCTGCCGCTGCGAAGTGGCGTAAACGAGGGCTCCGAGTATGTTAGCACGCGTCCCCCCCCCCCCCCCCCCCCCACACACACACAGACACACACAAACACACACTGCGAGCGTCTGGGTTCGAAACTATTAATTGCCAGTTCTAAAGGATGGTACTTACTTGAATTGGGAACTGGAATTCTACGAGGTACCAGGAGACACTTACTATCGGGCAACGAAGCACGGTGGCTGTGGGGGACGCCCACAGCCACCGTGCTAGGAACGCTACTGACTAATATTGTGACAGGCGATCAGTTATGATAGCAGACGAAACTTCGACTCGTTTGTTCAGAAGTTCGCGGTGATATTTTATTAGCCCTCGTTACAGCACACCAAGGATCTTAGGCAGTGAAATTCACATCACGCAGGCTCGTCCGTCGTAGTCAAATGAGCGCAGTCGACGATGAGGTGTGATGAGCTACTAAGCTTCACAAGGAAAATGCGCGCGAGAAAGAGTTTTGAGGGAGTCCAAAACACCGATTCAGCAGACGCACGCACGTACGTTTACTCCGGACTTCATGAACCCGACGGCGCAAGATTAAAGAGCACCGCCGCCATCGCCACCCGGTTTTCTCTGCACTTTGCGCGACGACGGCACTGCAACGGAGGGCACTCGCCTCGGCGTTAACAATCCGCGAAATAGATTAATTTCCCACTCTTGAAGCCATTCCAAATGATAAATGAAAATACCTCGGCGTTGTTGAACATCTGACGACACAACCAACAACTGTGCCGCTGGCTGCGTGAGCCGTACACAACTGTGCCGAGCGCCTGCTGGGCACCGTTGTTGCTCGTGAAGGCCTGCTTATTTGTAGTTGAGACGATGATTCCACATCTTTCGTGGTGCTTGCAATAACTTCGAAGGGCAGGGGAACCTTCTCACGAGGTCGTTGAAGACACTCAACACCGGAGCCACCAAAGCAATCGCACAAACCGTCGCCATGTTTGCTTCTTCTTCGTCACTCGCGGCGCGGTCAACTCGTTGCGAGCGTTGCGAGATGTTTTCTGGCTCGGCTAGATGGAAACCAACAGCGGCAAAGTGGCGTATGGACACGCGGCTCTCACATTACGGGCACTATACTCACATACCGCGGTAAGCAGGACCGATGCCGGCGAAACGGCAGTCGGCACACCAGCGAAGAAGCCCTCAACGGGAAGCGGCGGCGCAGGCCGACGCAGCCCCCCCTCCCCGTGAGCGTCTGGGTTCGAGATTGTTGTTCGCTTTTGCTCCTTGCAGTCGAGGCTAAAAAGAGCACTTCCGGACAAAGGTCTATAACCAGTCGCGCCAAGATCGCTATGGAGCATCATCGTACTGAAAGCGTTTACCTTGGCCAATACGAACGTCTTTGGCACTGTGCATGCAATAAACTTATCACACACTCATGATTATTTCCACAGATCTCTTACAGTTATGTTTCTCTTGTTGCGTGTTTCAAGACAGTAATATAATTTTTAAATTTCCGCAAGCACTGACGGCGCGTGTGATACCGCGCATCTTCGCACTGCCATCATACCCAGTGTCGGTGCTTTGGGACATTGAAAACTAATTTTACTGTCTTGAAACACACAAGAAGAGCAACATAATTGTAAGGGAGCTAAGAAAATAAGAACGAGTGATACGTTTATAGCATGCACAGTGCCGAAGTCGCTCGGATGGGCTCGGCAACCATCGTGGGGCGATGACCGCTAAACTGTTACTCTTCGTTATACAGATACTCTGCTTCCCGGAACATGGCCCCTCCCAAGCCGTTCAACCGCCCGAGCCAGCTCCTGCCACTATCTTCAGGACGGATAGGCCCTTTCGTGACAATGAAAGATTCTGACTCATCACGCAAAGCTGATTTCCGGGGTCTCACACTGGTGGATCCTCGGCACTCCAGCACGGTGGCGCTTCCGTCGACAACTGCCACTCGGCAATCACTAAAAAAGACTGCACGTTCCGGCAGTTCGCCCATGGCGATTCTTTTGTTTCGGCGTCCGAAGTGGACGGCTGCTACTGAGCTGCGTCCGCTGTAGTGTCGAAGCACGTTGGGTTGTTCCTGCTGTCGTACCTAGCGCCGAAAACCTCGCCGTCATGAGCGACGACCTTCAGCTTTTCTTCTGGGGCCTCCTGGGCGACGCCCAACCTTGCCGGCTCTACCGCAAGCAATTACCGCGGGGGGCTCGTGCAGGGCCGCTCCAATCCCCCTTGCCGAGGACGAGATGTCTGACGGCCAATCTTTGTCCAAATGTGACAGGCCCACCTACCACCTGGAGCCGGAGCGCGTGCCGTCGGTGGCCCATCCGCCTTCCCGACAAGCCCATGAGGTAGCCGAATCTTCGGAGGACGACTCTACCTTCAAGGATGGCATCTTCGATATGG